ACCTATATAAACAGAGAGCTAGAAAGGGAGAAAGGAGTGAAAGGAGAAACTCAGTATCATCTTTCTTCTCCAGTTGTTTTAGAGCTTCAGGTGAGAACCACAACTGGGTTCTTCACCAAACTTAATAAGATGATTCTAAAATTTATTGGAAATTTATTCTTAGCCAAGAATAGCTCTGACACTCCTAAAGAAAATGAACCAGGTGAGGGGATTTTTCCTATCAGACATAAAAGCTTAACACAGCAAAAGTAATTAGGTCAGTAAGATATCTTTGCCATGATAGAAAAATGAACTGATGGAACAAAATTGAGAACCCAGAACACAGTCGTATATACATGGATACTTGATATATGACAAAGGTGTCATTATACATAGTGAGGAAAAGATAGACTACTTAATAATTGCTAGTACAATTGATTAGCACATGTGAGAAAAGTTAATTTGGTTTTCTGCATCATGCTGTACATAATTCCAGATAGATTAAGAACTTCAATGTAAAAGGCAATTTTTAAAAACTTTTAGAAGAAAATGTGGGTGAGGGTCTTTTTGAATTTAAAGGAGAAAGGCTTCTTAAGACAAATTGTGTAGAAAACGATGGATACATTCAATATATTCAAATTAAGAGCTTCCTTTAACTGAAAGATCATAAAGAAAATGAATAGGCAAGGTACAAACTGTGAGAAGATAGCTTAATAAAAAATGTAAAGTTCTTACAATTTCAAATAGAAAACTTAAAGAACTCCTGAACATTAATAAGAAAAACAAAACCATCTAACAGAAAAATGAAAAAATAGAAAAAGTAGGGAAAACTAGGAGAGTACATTTTTAAACCATGATGAGATTCTATTTAACATTCACCGAATTGTCAAATTTGAAAAGCATTGGTGAAGATATGTGTCAATGGGAACCTTTGTACACTGCAGGTGGGTGTATAAATTGGTACAACTGCTTCGTATAATGATTTGGCATTTTCTAGTAAAATCAAAGATGTGCATATTGAATACCCAGCAATTTCATTCAGTATGTATGCTAGAGAAACTTCTGTATTTGTGTACCAGATGACATGTTCATGAATATTCATAGCATTATTCAAAACTAAGCTTATTGAGGTATAATTTACATACAATAAAATGCTACTGCTTTTAAGTATAAAGTTCAAGGGTTGACAAATGTTAACAGCGATGTAACTACCAGCACGATCAACATATAAAACTTGCCAGTACCTCGCAAATGTCCCCCTTTCTCCTTTGCAGAAGAACCAGCTATCAATATAGTTTTCCATTTCTTAGGATTTCATATAAATGGAACCACATAGTATGTAGTCACTTGTGCCTGGCTGCTTTCTCTTGACATAATGCATTTGAAATGCATCCCATGTCGTTATTTGTACCAGTAGTTTCCTCATTTTTGTTGTTGAATGGTGCTCCATTATATGAATATGTCAGGAATTGTTTGTTTATTCACTAGTTGTTGGACTTTGGGTTGTTTCCAGTTCTTGGCTATGATAAATTTTAAAACTGCCATGAATATTCTGTACAGGTATTTGTGTGGACATATCTTTTTTATTTCTTTTTTGTAAAATCGTAGGAGTAGAATTGTTGGGTCATATGCTAGATATATATTTAACTTAAAGAAAATCAAAATGTTTTCTAGAGTGGTTGTTCTATTTTGTATTTCTACCAACAATGGGTAACAGTATAGTTCATAGCAATATTATCCAGAATAACAAAAATAGAAACATCCTAAATTTTTACTGTCAGAAGAATAAATAAATTGTGGTATATTCATTCAAAAGAAGATCACAAATAATTAACTACAGCTATATGCAGTGACACTAATAAGCAAAAAAACAAGTCATAGATTAATACATACAATATAGTCCATAAATGTGTGCATTATGTTAATGAAATAATGCTATTTAGGAATATATACATTTTGTGAAGACTCTGAGGAGTGAGAAACACAAAATTCATGGTAGTGTTCAACCTCTGGGAAAGGAGTGTGCAGGGCTGGAGAGGGATAAGGCATTCCAAAGATGTTGCTAATATTCTGCTTCTTCAGCTGTGTGATAGATACATGGGTGTGTGTTTATTTGTTTACTCTTTAACTGGCACAATGTATTTTATATATGCTTATATATGATATATGTTTACAATAAAAGGTAAAAAGAAAATAAAGATAGTAAATGTTTATTTAGCCTCACTCTTTGCTTTTCTTTAAAAAGAAGAGATAATTGACATGGGCATTTGTCCTATACGGTAACTTATTTTCCTAGTTCTATTTAGTAGTCTGTATACTTACTCTAAGAGACTGCAGTCCTGGTGCTGGAGTAATTCTGGAATGCATTTCTGTCTCTGGGAGTGAAAGTTTAGATGTCTGACTCTCGGCAATATTAATGGCAGTAGTGAAATTCATAAATCCTTATTTATGAAGATGAGACTGTAGCCCACCTGATAGCAAAAGTGATTGAGTAGAATTCATTTATTTCTTAAAATTATATCCAGGGAAGGATGTGTCCTCTATTTCTTTCCTAATTGAATTATTTAAAATTAAGGTTTAAAAACCATCATAAAGTGCCCTTATAGCCAAATATAAAGGCTATATCATCAATTCTAGAAAGCCCGGTTTGCCACTTACTGGATAAGAGGCCAGCAATCTGGACAGTGAAGATTTCTCTCTCTCCCTTCTAGGCCACATCATAGCAATATAAATTCAAGAAGTTGAAAAGTTCATAAGATGAAAAATGCTAGTGAGGAAAACGGAAAGATAGCAAGAAATGTTTTTCATGTGTTTTAGTAATATCAAAAGCTATAGATTATAGTTCCAGCAGATGGTGCATCCCTATCTTCTTCTTGGGACGTTATTATTGAAAACATTCTTTCAAAAAATTAGTTATAATTTGATTACTACTTTGTTTACAAATATATTGAGACATTAAAAAAAGTGTATTTGTGTAAAATACAATCTCCACCTCCCAGAACCTTTATAGCAACTCAGGGGTAAAATGTGTTTATAGATGGAAATCACATGTGAATTATTACAGAAGCAATTTCAAGTGTAGAGGGCTGGCAAATGAGCCTTTAGTTTATAAAAATAATAAAAATATAATAATCAGTAATAAAACACTTACGGAATTACTATCAAAGTACAAATTCCACTAGTAAAAAAAGTGCCTTAATATCAATCAGTAGCTTGATTTTTCTTTTAAGTTTGAATCAAGATGTATGAGTAGGATGGGAAGAGATAAATTGGGAGTTCACGATTTGCAAATATTAACTATTACATAAAACAGATAAACAAGTTTCTACTGTATAGCACAGGGAACTATATTCAATGTCTTGTAGTAACTTATAATGAAAAAGAATATGAAAGGGAATATATATATGTTCATGTATAACTGAAACATTATGCTGTACACCAGAAACTGACACAACATTGTAAACTAACTATATTTCAAAAAAAAAAGATGTGTAAGTAGGAGTAATTGTTCTTAAAAATGAAGTAGTTCTTTCACTGTGCTCCACATTATTTAGAAAATTTTAAAAATATATTTTGTCCATATGATTACATGAGAAATACTAAAGAAAGCTACATAAAGGTGGAACTGAGCTTGTCAGTAATTTTTCTCATCCTAGTAAATGACTGTCAGACTGAGACTGTCTGAGAGAGAGGTTACCTGTTCCTAAGTTCATCACTACTGCTACAAAGGGACTCCCAACTTTTATATAGTGAGCTTTAATTACTTGTGTGGATTAAATCGTAGATAATTCTATCTTAAATAAAGGATGAATTTTTGATTTTTACTTTGGAATATGGGTTTGCATTTTAATAATACACACCTAACAATTTTCAAAAGGGTTTGCATCTGTACTGCACCACTTGATGCTACCACAACCCCACGAGGTTAGCAGGATCTAGCTGTTATCTCCATTTTGCTAGTGAAAAAATGAGATTTGTGGAGACTAAATTGTTCAAGTATCTTGGCTAGTAACAAATTGAGCAATTAAAGTCTTTGTCTTTTGTTTTGAACTCAGTGTGCTTTCTATTATACCATTATTTCCATATTTGATCTTTGGCTTCAGACAAAAATAAACATTATGATGTCATCCTGTTAAGTTTCATCTTTGGAGGTTCAGGTAGGTTGAATAACGGTCACCCAAAGGTGCTAATCCCTGGAACCCATAATGGTTACCTTATAAGGGAAAAGTGTCTCTACAGATGTGATTAAGTTAAGGATCTTGAGATTATCCTACCTAATCCAGGTGGGATTGAAATCCAATCACAATTGAGATTGTGAGAGAGGCAGAGGGAGATTTGACACAGACAGCAGAGTAGAAGACAGAGACACAGAGGAGACGGCAATGTGACCATGGAAGCAGAGATTGTAGTGATGGGGTCACAAGCCAAGGGATTCCAGCAGCCACCAATAATTGAAAGAGGGGCAAGGAACAGATTCTGCAGAGGGAGTGTGGTTCTGTGGACATCTAGGCCTCAGACCAGTAAAACTGGCATTGAACTTCTGGCCTTCAGAACTGTAAAAGAATACATTTCTCTTGTTTTAAGTCACTGAGATTGTAGTAGTTTGCTATAGCAGCCCTCAGAAATGAACACAGAAATACTGTTCAAGTTTTCCATTCCCTGTTCAACTCCATGCAATTGACTTGAACTTCTATTTCAGAACCGATGGATTCAGAGGGACCTAAGGTTTGTTCATTAAAACTTTCCCAGAAGAGAGAATGGTTCAAATGCTGGGGTTTCTGAGAACTTCTCAGCGAGTACTTCTCTTCTCTGAAAATTAATAGGGAATGTTGACAAAGTTTGAAAAGAAATATTTAAATGGAGTAGATATTGCTAATTCACATAAAAAGAAAGTTTTGTCACTGATAAACTGAAGTGCACTGAATCTGCCTAAGAAACACTGGGAGCTTATTGTGTATTTATTTGAATGCCAAAAACTGAAAATTTTACAGTAAAGAAAGCTTTTTTTTTTCCTTTTATAGGAAACGTATTGGAGCTATCATGTTTGGAAGTGTGTTTACAACACAATTTCACCTATTCATTCTCCTCTTTAAAATTTCCTTTCGTGACTTTTCTGCAACCAAGAAGAGAAACTCAGACTATTATGGGAATCTTTCTAAATCACTCCAGCTTTCAAAATGTCACCAGGATTTGCCAAGACATCACAAGTGAATTTAAAATTTGCTCCTCGTGTTTGGCTTGTGAGTCCAAAGGAAACACGGATTTTATTTCTCAGGAACAAACATCAAAAGGTAAATACAAAAGAAGAATGAGAAGAAAATTTATCAAGGATAAATAACCTTATTCTGTTAAAAAAAAAGAAGTATTGAAAATATATCCCAACGTTAAGTCCAATTGCACTGGAGCACTCAGTGGCGTGGTGCTCATTGAATGACTTGCAGGCTTTGTATACTAACTTGTTCTTGGTTTACTTTGATTTATTGAAAAGAAAATATCTATGCTGAAAATACATCAAAATGCCACTGTAATCCACCTACATTTGATGGGTAAAGGATAGTTTAGCATGCTCTCTTCAAAGATATTGAAATAAAATTCTAAGTAAATTTGTAGGTTCTCATAGTAAAATCACACTTTGATTCCCCAAGGAGTCACTGAATCCTTGATGCATTTGTACCTATTCTTTGTAGCTACTCCTGCCTAACATTCATCCATTATCTATAAATTGTCTTTTTACTTGTTTAATGATCCAGTGAGCTTCTTGATGGCAGGAACTTTGTCTTTGTTCCCTATGACATTTTAAGATCTTAGAATAGTGTCTACATGAGACATTTGAAAAATACTTGTTTAATGATTGAGTGAACAAATAAAAACTTGACTATGTATTTTCTGTAATGTCTAACTGAACCTTGCATTTATTATGAGACAAATATATATTATTTAATTAAATCAAATCAATTTGGATCATTGAGAATTAAAATAATTAATTTACAGTCATAAAATATACTGGTGGCCTCAAGCCCAAGCATCAAATTCATTGCTTTTACCTATTTAGTGGGATCACTTCCTATATTATTTCATACTGGCATTTCTTCCCATTCTTTCAGGATGGGAACAAGATATCTTGGCATTGGCTGTGGATGAAGTACGATAGATATGTCTTTTTCTGTGTTCTTATTCAAGTAGTGCTGTAACTGTTGTAGGGTCAAATTAATCAGAAAACAATTTGGGAAAATACCTTTATTATGATAGAGAACTAGGAAGTGTTTTAAGAACTGGCAGCTCACTGGTGCTACTTCTCTGCCTCCTTGAAAAGTAAAACATTGATAAGTTATTCCAGTTGCTATGGCTGTGTCACAATCATCCCAAAACTCAGTGGCCTTAACCACAGCAATCCTTTCTTCTTACCTTCCCTCCCTCCTTCCTTCCCTCCCTCCTTCCTTCCCTCCTTCCTCCCTCCTTCCCTCCTTCCTTCTTTCTTCTCTCTCTCTTCTTTCTTTCTTTCTTTCTTCTTCTTCTCTTCTTCTTCTTCTTTTCTTCTTTCTTTCTTCTTTCTTCTTCTTCTTCTTC